TGGTGAAAGGTTGGAACTAAATGGTCTTTAAGGTCCCTTGCAACCCAAGCTATTCTGTTATTTTATGACGTCTGCACTAGATATATTCTGGACCTGTGATTATAATGTTATCCATTTTTGTCACAGAAGAAAACCAAAGATGGACATCCAGGCTTCATTGTATCATCGTTTTGTGATAGGGAAGTGAAAGTAATCAGCAAAAATACAAGTTTTGTTGTGTCCAAAATCGAGGAAGAATGATGTCAGAAAAACGCTTGGCTGATGCCTGTGGAGCCTATTTGAGTTTCTAAAAGTATCTTCTGGCAGAAATGTTGAAAAGGGGATGTATTTGGAACTAGAAGTCAAGCACCCTCAATTAGTCTGGCTTTCTAAAAAGCCACCATTTTTGAGCAGCGTCTTTGACTGTGCATTTACAATATATATTTTTCTAAATGAAGTTCTGTTAAAATACCATCTGAAAGTACACTGTGTTTTAAGTATTCGTCTGTTACTGAAAAGTAATGACACTTCTGCATGGCTAGAAAATTTGAAATTGTATAAAATGTGAGACATCATTTTTACAATCTAAAACATGATGTTTTTTTAAATGAAAAACAAGGGCCTGATACTGTCAATACACCTAAATGAATAACTTCTTACAGTACTCTCTGCTATTTTACTGGCTAGCAAAAATCACTAATAATTCTCTTGTTTAAATTATTGAAAACCATTTAAGGAGTTAAAAAAAAAAAAATTACCCATTCAAACCTGATGATGTGTATACCAGGTTTCAGATTTGTTCAATTAGAAATGGTCAAGATATAAAACCGTACAAAATGTGAGTAAATACTCTGCATATCAAGGTTTGTTATACAATTACATGCTTTCAGTATGGTTCTTACTAAGGGAAAACAGTAGAGAGATCTGTAGTGCTTTTTCAGTGAATAGTTACAAACTTTCCTAGCTTAGTTATATAAAAATAATAATCCACTTGTTGCTTTGCTATAATATTAAAATGTGCACATGCTTTATTTCTCCCAAAGTTATATGAAGAACTTGGAATTCCCCTGTCCACTTTCACTACCCCCACCTCAATTTTGGCAAATCTCCAAATTATAAACAGCTGAACTGATTTAAATAAAGTTTTCAGTACAAAAACAACAACAAAAAAAAGTAAGGTTACATCTGGGCTGAGAAGAACATGTGCCAAGTATTAGCCCAGTGTGATTTGAGACAACCATGATGTTAAATGCCCAAAGCCAGGAGTTGGAATGGAAATGCAGAAACTGTACTGGCCCCTTCAGGATTTGTGATTGTAATGTAGTGGTTACAAGGCTCCAGATGATTAAGGCTTGAGTTAGTAGATACATATTTTAATTACTTACATCCTTCAGGCTTTTCTTCCAAAGATATATGGGAAATTTTCATTGATACCTCCTGTTAGTGCTTGTGGCACTGAGTGGGAGACTGTGGCTCAAGCCTTCCCATGATTAGTTAAATTGATTTACCTTTTCTGGGCTGATCTTAAGAGATTCTTTAATTATGATAAGTCTGTTCATGTTTGAAAAAGAGCAAAGGGTTCCATATTTCTTTAAAATGGTGGCCAGGGTTTGTTCATAGCGCAGCTCTTGAGCATATGCCTGGGATTTACTGAGGCTGTGGTCTGTTGCTGTTGTTCAAATTTTGCTGAATTGGAGCTCAAATGTCTGCTACTTTGTGAGACTATCCCAAAATATTAGCAGTATTGGCCGTTGTTCTTGACTAACATAAAAGCTGAATATGCAAAGCCAAACAGACACTCATGAAGTAGAAATGTCATCACTAATTAACTTCCAGGACAAAAAAATAACTACTCAGATAACTCCTGTTTGCTAATAACATGATTCATAACATGATTTCTCTATATGGAAAGTAAAGGCCAAACATTTTTTTTTTTTTTTTTCTTTTTTAAGAAAACTATTACAGTTTAGGAGAACTAGGAGCATTATAGCCTTGTAAGAAGAGCTTCCATTTTTTCCACTTTTTCTTGGAGGGATGATCAATGTGTCTCAGGTACATATTTAACAAGCAGGCCAGTTCTCTAGTTAGTGGGATTTGGGAGCAAAGAATATGCTCTGATTCTGCCCCAGTCCTCTTCACTCAGGAAATCCACTTAAAAGCAACACATCCCCCTTATGAAACACTGTTTAAAAACAAAGAAACAAACAAACAAAAAAGCCCTCCGAAGCACCAGCATTTATTTTTTCCAGAGGTGATTTAATTTTTAATTCAGTAGTATGTGTAACAGTTGGAACAGTTTATCTGAGGAATAATGATTTTTGATTTTCCCGTGCAGTCTTTAAATAGCAGAACGATAAGAGACTAGGAAGGTGAAGAAAGATAAATCTGTGTTAAATATAGGGAAGTGTCTATCAGTTCTAGTGTGTATCTAAGTATCTATATATATTTATATGTCTATATAGAGATGTATATTTATATATCTATATATATCTATATAATATGTACCTATATTTTGGTGCATTGGTATTTTTTTGATAATTTGTAGCTTCTTGTCAGCTTTATTTCATTGCATCTGAAACCTATGAAATGTTTCATTAAAATGAATGAAATGTTTTCTCTAAAAAAACAAACATGAAAATGGAATTACTTTTCTCAGTGTTTTAAACATGTACTAGTTCTGTATGGTTCAGTGAGGATTTCAGTCTCCTTCCGTCACCATTCAGGTGTATGTGAATACAGAGCATAAACCCTAAAGTACCTTCTCTGTATTTTAAAAGTCTTCCATGACATTGTAGAGGCTATTTCCACAGCTCAAGTAATGCAAACAGAAATAAAAGGGTGGAAAGACTTACTCAGATTAAGACTCTACTTGTTTAATACACCGCACCACAAACCATAGGCCGAGAGACAAAAAGTAGGAATGGAAAGGAACAGTTAGGCAGTTGTGTCTGAATCCTGGCCATATACAGTCATTTCCGCTTGGAAACTTCTCGCCTTTCAAATGGACCAAACTGGGGTTAGTTTAGTGAATCTTTCATTGTGCTCTGAAGGAAAATATTTCAGAAGCCAGGTGAAGTTTTGCTGGGGTATGCAACCACAAACAGCGCTAGGAGCTCCAGTTTGCTGGGAGGTGAAGGCACCTTCCCAGTGGACGCTGTCTCGAATACACAGTGTTCAATGTTGGCTGAAGATATCGGCTGCTATTCAGTCCTCCCCCTACCCAAATGGAGAAACAGTGCATTACTGCTTCTGATTTAAGAGACAAACTAGGAGATGATGTAAGAGGGTGAGAGAGAGATTATCTCAACGACAATCTAGATTTTATTGTATCAGCTTAAAGTATCACAACCTGCTGTACTAATGAAATTGTGTTCTTGGTTTAAAAGGGCAATTGTTAGCCTGACTTTGTGCTCACTAAAAACATTTCCCCAATCTTGTTAAATTATTGCACTCATTTCAAATTTTTATGGCTGTGCAGCTTACCAGCCCTCGTTTCTTTACGTTTCATTCATTTTCCTTGTATTGATGATTAATAGAGGATGTCGAATGTTAGAGTGAGCAGGCATCAGCAAATGCAAGATCATAATTAGTTTAGCTGACGAGGGCCTCTGATAGCACTTGCATCTGGATGGAAAAATTACCCTATAGGGAACTGGCTGCTCACCAGGTCTTTTTAGTGATACATTGTGAAACACCCGATGAATCAAATGCCCTTTCAATGCCAAGAAAGTGTTCCAGTCTTGAAGCCAAAATTATGTCTGCAGAAAGCTTTCCATTTGAAATGTATCAGAGTACAATTATAACCATTGTATTTTTTTGGCATGAGCACTGGTCTTCTACAGTATAGACTAAAGTTAAATAAATTACTTAAATTTTATGAAACCCTGAAATTTTGACTTATAGTGCTAGTAATTTTTAATTTATAATAAAATTAGTTTTCACCCAGACTGTTTTCTCTATACTCGACCATTCTTATCTTCGATGCTGAAGGTTTCTTACTGACTTTTTTTCCTTTGCTAGAAGGGAACAGAGTTGAAATTCAGATTTTCTTTTCAGCAAAAGAATTCCATTTCCTGCTTATTAGTATTTGTGCCCACAAACACAGCCTGACTTTTATTTAAATGAGAGATTTAATAAAATCATTGCTCTGCAGAAAGAATTTAACGAGCAATACTCATAAACTTGTCTACTTTTAAATATTCTTGGATCATTATGAAAGCTGATGAATGCACAGCTCAGTCTGGTTAAAAATCAGTTGGTATTTAGGAAAGTTGTACTGTGCCTTTCTTTGCCTGAATAAACTAAATATGTCTGTGTGCTGATGAGACTGTTTTCTTGGATTTCAGGTAAAGCTCAAAAGAGGTCTCATTAAGCATACTGTACTTTTATTTGTTTGGCAGAGGTTACTCCTTGTTCTTAGCGGGCGGAGGGAAGTCTATGCTCTTACTCTGCTTTCTGAAGTGAGTGGGAACGACTGGAACTGAATATCATGTATTCAATTAATGAAGTATAGTCTCTAGTAAAGGAATTAGTATGACGCAAATACAAACTGCAACTAATTATCATGGTGGTGTTTCGGGATCCCTGTTACCAATCGCACTTTAAAATCAAGCAAAGGGAAAAGAAATAATCTGTTGTGAAACGCAGTGAACAAAACAGGAGAAGTTTACAGAATGTTCTCTGTCAGCTTCCAGAGTGGTTTTTCAGAATTTGCTGTTTAGAAACCATCATTAAATGCACAAAACCTGAAGTTCAAAAAGTTAAAGCTGTTATTCTGAAAAGGCTTTGGTGTTTCACACACCTCATCCATCACTCCAGGGTTAATTATAATGAAAATCAGTGGTGCCTATTAAGCACAATTGAACCTGACCTCATTATGGGCAGTGTGGGTTTATACTGTCATTGTTGCCAGTCTAGAGACAAAACTCCTGTGTTGATTTGTCCTAACTCCGCAGATCATGTGACTCACCTCTGACCTGTTTTTTTTTTTCTGTGTTTTTTTTCCTTCTTCCCTATTTCAGAGACGTAGAGGCTCGGGTGTTTTTTGTGCCAATTGCCTGACCACAAAGACCTCTCTCTGGCGAAAGAATGCAAATGGTGGATATGTATGCAATGCGTGTGGCCTCTACCAGAAGCTTCACTCGGTAGGAAGAACTTGCTGGTTTGTTCAGAAAAAAGGGGTTATACAGTTAAGCTGGGCAACTGTGATCTTGCCTGGTTGTGTGATTACTACCACTCCCTGGCCTGCAGTTAATTTCCTAATGGGGATTTGCAGTATGGTCACTTTGGAATCAGATGTGATTCATTATGCAAAAGGCTGGGATGCTGTGGGTAGACGTGTTTGAGATCACCAGTGATGCATTTAATTATTTTGATATGAAATAAGGGGAAAGTTATTTCTTTTCTGGGAATTCCATTTATAGGCAAACAGTATGTTGTGATGAAGCTCTCTACTTATCAAAAATACTGTTTTTTGCTTGCTTTTACTCTTCTCCCCCCTTTATTCTTCACACCAAATTTCGTAGAAATTCTTTGGGGTTTTTTTCGTTTGTTGGTTGGGTTTTTTTTAGGTTTTTTCCACAGTTCCTGTAGTCTGCTTCAGGATTCAGAAGTAACAAGGAACTGCTCATGCAATGGCACTCATTAATTTCTGAGATAATTTTTCATCATTCCTCTGGATCAGGCATGGAATAAGTAATAATCATGGGCTGTCTGTATTGCTTTTCATCTTATCGACACTTGGCTTGATCCTGAGAGATGTTGAATGCTTTGGTCCAGGTCCAGAAAAGCCACGTTTAAGTGTTTCTTTGGATCTGTTCCAAAATGCTCAGAATCTTTTAGATTAAGACCCAATATTATTTTTAATGTTGGGTTAAATATTATTCCCTGCTATGAAATTAGAAAGTGGTACTGGTTTTTGGTAAGGGAAGCTGGACTTTGGGATTTTGCCAAGGCAGTGTAACAATCTAGAGTTTCAGCCAAAATCAGAAACCTGTGTTTTGGTTGACAATGCATTTTCTTAAAACATTTTTTAGAAATTACATTTTCAAAATGAAAAAACAAAAAACAAAAAAAAAAAAAACCCCAGCAACAAAAAAACAGGAAACTATTTCAAATGCATTATTACTCAAGTGCTTATGTATCTACAAATTTGAGGCATAAGCTTCTAAATAAGTCAATAATTTGTATGGATTTCCTCCTTTGTCTCATGCGCAGGCCATATAACAATCCTGTTTACTCAAGATCACTTTATAGCAAGTATTCCAGTTTTCGTAAGCAGCAAAATGATCACCATTGTTAAGCAGTAGCTCTGTTTTCTGAGATCAGTAACTGTTTTTTAGCTCCAGAACGTCCCAGCCAGTCAGATGACAACTAATTGAGAGAAGATAGACTAATGCATGATTTCTGGCCAGCATCTTGGTCAGGTCTTGCTGAAAGTATCATTTTCCTGGAGAACTCTGAAAGTTCTAAATACATTCTGATTTAAGTTACATTGATTACTCTGAGCATCTACAAAGGTTTAAAAAGGACAATTTGGCTTTGGAACATTAATTTGACATTTGATTCCATTTATTCTTAGAATTTCTATGGACAGCTTCCACTTTTCCTTTATATGATCCAAATTTCTAAATTAAAGTGTTGAAGTTCATCATAATTACTAGTATAACTTAACGAATGTATAAAAGAGGCAAGTATTAGTTTTGAATTAATAACGTAGTTCAGATAATTCTTGTGAACCATATGGCTCAGACTAGTATGCTTCCCACCGTAATAGTTAGCAATGCAATGTCAAACTTCATTTATGCATGCAGGAAAAAAGAAGATTTTAAATCCACTGCCCAAGCATGACAATAAGCTGTCATTAAGTGGATACTTGACATTAATATCTACAATTGAACTTCTACCAAACAAATACAAAGAATTCTATTAAGACACCATTTTGCTGTGATACAGTAGCAACTTCAGTGTGAACTGGGTTCTTAAATAATCAAACACGTCTCTCCACAGTGTCTCCATTGGGACACTGTTTAAGACAGTCCCATATTCTTGTGTAACTGCAGAATTTGAAGATTTGTTTTATCTGTGTATCTCTCTAGCTATCTCTTCATGAAAAAATTATAGTAAGTATTTGTCATTTATATATTTTTTTAATTAAGGAGTATAGGATGATACAGTTATTAGGCTGAAAATGCAAAAAAAAATCCAAGGGAGTAGAACTGTTCCCTCCTTTAAGCTGCCCCATTAAACTAAATTGTGCTACTCAACTGAATAAAATTATTCACCTCTAGTAGGTTTGTACATTTCATAGCTACCTTTTAATTGGATTATCACTGCTTAAAACTACTCTGCTCATTAACCGATCAATGCTTAAGAAAGTGTATCGTACACTTATGTCTGCAGTCTCATATTATACTGGTATTTAGTAAGGAGAAAAATCCATGATCTGTCCCATTGTACTAAAGACATATGGACTGATAAATGTTAATATTGTAATGATTCCTAGTATGAGTCACATTTCCTTTCTATCAATGTATCTATGGACCATTTGCATGAAGCTTGTCAGATGTTTCACATTTCTCTCCCTTAATGCAGACAAATATGTTACGAAATGTGTAATAATATTTAAATGGTCAGTTATTAAAATAGTTCAAGTGAAAAAAGATACTTTCATGTCAGTGAAAGCACATACACAATATTCACACTTACTGGTGTGGAAAGTGACTTTTTCTCTCCAGAAAGTCATGAATTTGACCGCTTATATTGTGGCATTATTCCTCTTTGTTTAATAACTCTACTACAGTCATGGAAAGCTAGATTTTGTTCGGTAGAGATTCTTTGGCCAAATTCTCAGACTACTTCCTTGAGAGGTTACAGCATATTACTCTAGGACTAGATATAAATGATCTCCTGGTGCAGAGGTCACAGCAATTTCCCATTTTGTATAGGGAGAATAGTCAAAATAATTCACTGAAATATTTGCTGAATTTTCTTTTATTTTTATGTTACTTGCACTTTTGAGGGATGCAGATCACCAGTTGACAGAGATGTCAAAAAAAAAAAATATTCTTCATAACATTATGTGTAATGTATAATCAAAGATCTGATATAAGACATTTGAAAAGGAAAATTTTGGCAAATTCTGTTTTCTAATTTGAGTGCCCCATTGATTATCTAGAAGTGAGTAATTTTTTTTGTCTCTGCTTGCAAACACACATAATATTTCTTTCTGCCCCTTTTTACTATAAATAGGAAATGCATGTGTAGTGTTACTCGACTGAATATGCTGTTTTAATCAGCTGAAGACTGGTCAGAATTATTGTTAAGTTGTACCTACAGCCATTAACTTCCAGCAAAGTGAGTTGAAATGCAGATGGGTGTGAGGATCCTCCTTTACAGGTGTGAAGATGTTTCTTGTAACTGCTTGCAGGATCAGATTTCATACCTGTAGCAAGGTTAAAAGTATTACCAAATCTCTGGAAATTGTATTCTGAACCCATATGAAAGCGTTCTGTAGCGTATAAATCAAAGTTTAATGTGAGCAACATCAACAGATTTGTAAGTTCTGTCACACTTTGTCAATATGACAGTGTCACCAAAAAGTAAGGAAGTTAAGCTGAGCTTGTAATATGTATATTAATTGGCCATTGGATCTGCAGCTATAAACTTTATTTGCTTATTATTAACTTATTATAAAATTTACATTGAAATATTCTAATTTAATCTGAACATGATTTTGCCTTGGCGTACTTTGGTGTCTTTGAGATTGGTTCAGATGCTCCTTTTCTGCTGGGTTGAAATTTTGTGTATTTAGACTCTAAATCAGAGTCTTTTTATTTAGATTTTTAGTAGAAAGTAGAATCTGAACAAGTAGCTGCACTGCCTAAAACGTGGTTAACCATTAAAAATGAGTAGACATCAGGAAAGTAAATAGATTGAAAAAGAGAAAATGGCATATTGAGAGAGAGAAATAAGTAGAAGAGTGAGAACTCCAGTTCTGGATACTTTTATATTAATATACAAAATTATGTTACATTTGAGTTACAAAGTGGATATTGATTGTAGGCCAAAATTTAGTCTGCTCTTTAAAACAATGTTAAAAGGAAAATTCCCAAGTAAACATATAAGTGGAATACTTTGTGGGGCACTTCTTTGGCCTCCAACCAAATCAGGACTATGTCTGCATTTGGATGAGACAAATGGCAGCTCCAGAGCACCAAACTGAATGAGTTTTAGGTAGTTTTGTTGTTTTAACATCTGCCCAGTAGAGCAACACATACTGACGTTACAGTACCATCTTTCATGCACATACCATTGCCTTCATGCCGAGGGGCCTTTCAAAGAGGCCTGGCAGCTGTCCTACCTCATACTATTTTTCTTCCTTCATGCAGAAGTATTTTCAGCTCTTCTCTAAATAGGCCACCTACTCTGAGCTGGTGTGGGGAAGTATCAAATGGAAACAGAAGGCCTTGCTTGGTTCTGCCTCTTCCTGGCTGTTTTTTTCTTTGCAGACCCTTTCCCTCCTTCTGGGGCCTTCCTCTCTCCCTCATGTAGCACAGCATTATAACATCTGGGAAAAAATAAATCAGGAATGAAGGAAGAGGCATTGGTGACAAAGTCCCAGCATCTTTGTGCAGGTCTGCCTCCGTTCTGCTAGGTAACAGTGGTGATGATCAGAAAGTCATGTTTTTTACTGTCATTTCTTATTTGTAGAAAAATGGGAGATAGGTGTAAAGGTAAGTAATACCCAGTTCTTGCTGTAGTGTGATCTGTGCAAACCCCTGGCTAGTACCAGCCCTTGTGACATAATACATGGAGTAACACTAGTGTGTAGAGCCATGCATCCCCCACCTAATCTTTAGCTCTCAGCACCCTCTTTCAGCAGATCTCTCTCAGACGTTTTCAGAAATAGGACAAGTTGGAGGCTTCATCCTTTTTTAAGCAAAAAGGTATAGTACTGAGATGGTTCACTCAGTGTGATAAAACAAAGCAAATCACAGCTTATTTTTAACATGAGGGGCCAAGTAGCAGCCTTTTGGTTTGCTTTATTTGTGAAAAATAGTAATTTCCTTAAAACTCTCTTGTATTACATCTTTTCACAAAAGAAAAGATAAATTTGCATGAACCTGGTCGGGTAGATTTGTTTAATGTCTCTTTCTTTTTCCCTTTTGTTCATTATGTGTGTGTTCCATGCAGACTCCCAGGCCTTTAAACATCATTAAGCAGAACAATGGTGAGCAGATCATTAGAAGACGAACAAGAAAGCGCCTTAACCCGGAGGCACTTCAGGCTGAGCAGCTAAACAAACAGCAGAGGGGTAGCAGTGAGGAGCAAGTCAATGGAAGCCCCTTAGAGAGGAGGTCAGAGGATCACTTAACTGAAGGTCATCAGAGAGAAATTCAGCTTCCCAGCCTCAGTAAATATGAGGCCCAAGGTTCATTGACTAAAAGCCATTCTGCTCAGCAGCCAATATTGGTCAGCCAATCTCTGGATATTCACAAAAGGATGCAACCTTTGCACATTCAGATAAAAAGTCCTCAGGAAAGTACTGGAGACCCAGGCAACAGTTCATCCATATCAGAAGGGAAAGGAAGCTCAGAGAGAGGCAGCCCGATAGAAAAGTATATGAGACCTGCGAAACACCCAAACTATTCACCACCTGGAAGCCCTATTGAAAAATACCAGTACCCACTTTTTGGACTTCCGTTTGTACACAATGACTTTCAGAGTGAAGCTGACTGGCTGAGATTCTGGAGTAAATATAAGCTGTCTGTTCCTGGGAATCCACACTACTTGAGTCATGTGCCTGGCCTACCAAATCCTTGCCAAAACTATGTGCCTTATCCCACCTTTAATCTGCCTCCTCATTTTTCAGCTGTTGGATCAGACAATGACATTCCTCTAGATTTGGCGATAAAGCATTCCAGACCTGGGCCAACTGCAAATGGTGCCTCCAAGGAAAAGAGTAAGGCACCACCAACTGTAAAAAATGAAGGTCCCTTGAATGTAGTAAAAACAGAGAAAGTTGATAGAAGTACTCAAGATGAACTTTCTACCAAGTGTGTGCACTGTGGCATTGTCTTTCTGGATGAAGTGATGTATGCTTTGCATATGAGTTGCCATGGTGACAGTGGACCTTTCCAGTGCAGCATATGCCAGCATCTTTGCACGGACAAGTATGACTTCACAACTCACATCCAGAGGGGCCTACACAGGAACAATGCACAAGCTGAAAAGAATGGAAAACCTAAAGAGTAAACCTTAGCACTTAGCACAATTAAACAGAAATAGGTTTCCTTGATGGGAATTCAATAGCTTGTAATGTCTTGTGAAGACCTATAAAGCACTTCATATAGAGAGCATGCCTTATCCAATATTAAACCCCTTGTCTTTTCTTTTTCTTCCTTTTTCTTATTTTTTTTTTAATTTTTATTTTTGGTTTTTATTTTTTTTCTTTTAAATGAGTGGGTTACCAAGAAAAAAAAAGAACAACTGTGTGGTGGCCTGTAGGTGGAGGAGATAGTCATATGGGACATGGCCCACCAAAGCTAGCCAGAATGCAGTGTACCGTGGCAAATAACTTTGAGGACATTTTACCGGACATTTGGTATCTTTGCTGTTGTGTAAGAGACATAACTGGCGAGAGTGCAAAGATGTGTATATGTATGTACTGCTGCAGAGGTGTAGTGAACATATGCACATTGTATATAAGAGCTAGACTTGTTAAATATACAGATGTTAAAAGGTCATTTTTTTTTTTTGAATTTGGGCTAATTTCTGCCCTACAACATGCCTTAGGATCACTTTCTCCTCAAAGCTTTGGCAGCAATTTCATCTAGGTGTTTCTCAGACTCAGCTGGTTTTTAGCTACCATTTTATCACTACATTCTTTCTGGCATACTTTAGTCTAGGAAAACCATTTTGTGCTAGTGAAGTCTCTAACACAGAAGCCACACTCTGGGTTTAATTTGCGTGGAACAAGGTAACCTGCTGTATTTTATTTTAATATATTTTAATATATTACATTTCTAAACCTTAAAGTCTAAGGTTACTTCTCCACAGACTTAACATTGCTATACATACCAGTCAGTCCCTTCAGTAGACTTATACCAGCTTTTGCTAAGTAGCATTAAATGTCTTCATAGTACTTTTTAATACTTAAAGCTTTGTAAAAACTGTCCATGAAGGGAAAGCTCCTCAGCATAACTGCTCAGGGAAATAGGGCTAAATAACTAAATATTAAATAATTGGTTAAAGGTGCTGTTAGACGAGCCTCCATGCTTGCTACAAGGGTGTACAAGAACTGACTTTAATCATTTTCATTATAGTGTCCCAACCAGTAGTTTATTATTTTGCCACAGGGATGTAGAAGATATTACAAGCTACTGGATGCACTGTCAGATTAACTTATTTCATTAAAGAAGTTGGGAGAACAAATAGAAAAAAAACCTTATTTTTCTAGTAAATATTAATGTATTACATTTCAAATAATGGTGCCTGACATATTGAATAATTATTTTCTACAGTGTACGTATGCAACAAAGATATTCCATCATGCATTAGAGTCAGTTCTGGCTCTGCCTCGCTGTTTACATTTGCAAATGTAGCAAACAAGGTAATGAAGCAACTATTTCTATTGCAGTAGGTATCTTTTTTTCTGTGTGTGTGCATTAAAGTTGTAAACGATAACATGAAATGAATGAAATTTGTTGATATTAATGGTATGGAAAAACAAGAAGGAAATGAAAATATTTTTATGCCTACTTAGGAGAAAAAGGGTAGCACTATTCATTCCAAGTACTTTTGTATTCTTAAGCTCTTAACTCACATTGTTATGCTTAAAATGATAAACATATATCCTCTTTTTATTGCTTTGTCTGTGTTTCAGAAGAAACATTTCAGAAATTATTTTGATAAGTGCTGTTTGACGATGCAGCGCTGATGTTTTATTGCATTCTGTAGTAGCATTGCACTCCATTTTTACAATATTACGCAGTTGCTTTTTTGTTTTGTTTGGGTTTGTTTCTTTTTCGCAGTGCAGGGTCTTAGCTCCTTATGGTTGGATGGCAGGTGTAGCTCAACTGGTTCATGAATGTTGCAGCGAATGAAGTTTAAAATGTCTTTCTGATACTATGTTGTCTTTTATTTCTCCATTCATGCATTTTATTTTTTAAAATGTTCTATAAAAATATCTCTGGACTAAGTCCTCACTTGAGATTATATGTAAAGGGTCCTATTCTGATCTCACTTACATGCCGCCTTTCTCAGATTTTCATGTAATTGAAACTAAAGCATCATAAAAAAAAAAAAAACGTTCTTGTATTTAACATACCTGAATCTCACCACTCTCCCTTGTAGGATTTGGTGCACTTATAAGATACTTAACCAGATAGACAGGGAGGTGGAAGATAAATGGAGAGATGATAGGAGACGTCTTACAGGGGTTGGCAAAAGGAAAACAGGGAGGAACTGGCCTAAACATTCAGCACTTTGGTAGTCTTTTGAAAAATAACGTGCCTAAGGGAGCCGGGAATGACCATCACCATGCATGAGAAGCACTTATACAGCAGATCACCAAAGGTCTCACTGACCTTGGCAGTATTTCAGATGTTACATTTTCACACAGATGAAACATTATTGCACAGTTTTCTCTGATTTGTTAGGCACAGACAGGCTATTGTTCATCATTAGGCTTGCATTCCTTCCTGCTCCACCCATTGCTTCTATACTGGTGAGCAGCATATGGAAAATCCCACTCAATCCATTCATGGTTGAGTTCTATAAACCTTTATTAGTGTTCTAGGTTAGCAAAGGATATTGGGCCACATTCTTCTTATTCTATTTTTAGATGAATCTCCTGTTTGATACCATTGCCAGACAATGTCTGGTTATGTTTTTACTATTGTTCTCCAGTAATAAGTTCTGACTTGGTTTTTGTTGATTTATTTTTGTTGGGTATTTTTTGTTTCCTTTTCTTTTTTTTTTTTTTTCTTTTTTTTTTTTCTTTCTGTGGGGACTGAAATAGATTGCCCTCGTTTCGTTACGTCAGGGTCCAGTGTGTGTCCTTTTCAGCTTTTCCACAACGTTAGGCTCACTTAGCAGTGATTTTATTGGCTTCAGATTTAGCTGCCTGCCGGTTATCAGTAGTTACTGTTTTGACTTATTTCTTCCGAGACCTACCTGTGGCTTCTTCACTGATAGAAGCTGCATCTTCATGGCAAAATATGTTATGGGGGACATGCGCATTATAGAACTTGAGCACCGCCCTGTACTTCATAGTATCTCTTGCTACTCGGATGCAAGAGGCCAATAAGGAGAAATACACCCATCAGGGTTTGGGAATGAGGAGAAATGAAATGTTAAGAGCGCAAAGAACAAGACAGATTTTGATATTAATAGTGCACCTAGATAGTGCAAATAAAATTGGAGGAAAGAAAGTGTGTTATTCTTGCCATGACATATTGAGATGTTCTGAGATTTCTGTTCTGTAAGAAATGGGACTTTGCTGTAGCCTGTTCTCTTTGATTGGGATGGGGGGAGCACAGTTACGCTTATTAACAAAAAGAGGTGATCCCATTCCTATTCCAGTCCCCCTCATGTGGATCAAAAGAAGAATAATTCCTGAATAAATAACTCTCAGGTGCAAACCCATGTTAGCACACACAATTATTCAGTGCACCCACTGCATTTCAATCAACTTGCAGCACTAAAACTTAATACTTTCAAAGAGTCTTTATTCTTAGCATTCCAGTGTCTTCAAATGTAGTGCTTGTCTTACTTACGAGTGATTGTTGGAGATCTGAAAATGCATCTCAAATGGGACCCCGAACTGAACAGAGGGTTCAAAAACAGGGTGCGTGGTATCGGAACTTGCAGAACAGGAACATTTTCCACTTCTGAGGAATTAACACTGTATAGCAGACCTGTCATGCAGCATCTTCTGCAAACCAAACTTCGTGGCTGCTGCCCCCTAATTTAATGCTGCAGGAGATGATGATTTTCTGGAGCGCAGTTTGAGATCAGGTCCTCAACTTTGAGCACTTTCCAACAGAAGTTTTGCTCCAGATTGCCTCTATGCTGAAAGATGACACTGGATACCTTCTATCTTTGCTTTGGCTAAAAGTGTGCTGGTGCACTGGTGTCAGTTGTAAAAGAGAGAGCATAGAGACGTCTTAGGAAGGGTAAGCATGCTGAGGGTGAGGAAGAGATGTTTTTTTTTCAACCAGGAGCAACAGAACAAAAGTCACCAGTGCTAACTGTATGCAGTGCTGAGACTCAGTGATTATGCAGTGGGGAGATCTGGTTTAGAAGCTGTAGGGTGGACTTTTAAGTCCATCTCTGGACAGGGCAGTGTTGCTTTCTAGTCATAATTGCTTGCATTATGCCCTGAGAATATTGTCTACTATCTGCTTTTGCCCAGGTTGCACGAATATGTTCCCATTCTTGCTCCTGTATTGATTTTTCTTGGCCAGTTTAACATACTAATTCCTAATACTGGTCAGGAAAAGCCAAAGAGATTAGAAGTTCACTGATGTTCATCCAGAAGGGTAGATACATTTCCTTCTGCTTCTGTGGAGACAGTTATGCTTGGCAAAGGATAGTGAGCAATTTGTCAGCATATCCCAAATGTGATAGATAAGTGAAAAATCCCTTCTAAACTTTTCTGTAAAGTAAAGATGAGCCAAGTAGAATTATTTGCATTATTTCCTTACCCCAGAATAGGATTCATCCCTACCCTCTTCCTCACAGTTTTCTTTCATGCAACTGGTTCTGGAGAGCCAGCAGTTGGCGAGATGCTACCTATACAGAAATCATATGTAAACCCAATTTCCCTCATTTTAAGGGGATAAAAGACAATAATCTAATGGTTCACAACCCAAAGCCTTTTTTTTCTTCTTCTTCTTTTTTCCAATACACTTAGGAAAGTAAAATGCTTAGAATAAACCGAACATCTACCACAGTTTTCTGTGCAATGTCCTGTCATTTTGGCCTCTGAGCTCTTATATAAAAGGAGAATAGGTGAAAAGGAAACATCTCAAAATGCCATTGTATGTTTAGCTTATAGAAAATTCACCAGCAGGATAAATAGAAAAAAAGAAAAAAAAGTACTTAATAAAGAATGACTTCATGTTGCTAAAAACCATCATTAAACTTGTAGCCCTGATTTGACTCTAGAATGCTGGCTCTTATTGTTTTGTCCTTACAACACATGGATGTGTTTTTTGTTTTGTTTTGTTTTGGGTTTTTTGTTTTGTTTTGTTTTTTGGTTTTCATAGTGCATGTTCATTTCTACTCACAAACATGTTCTTGGTGTATTTCTTATGCAAACAATCTTCAGGCAGCAAAGATGTCTGTTACATCTAAACTTGAATAATAAAGTTTTACCACCAGTTATAAATCGGATTCATGTCATTGTTTCTGGGGAGAATGTAATGTCATGGTGTCGCTGCAGCGTTGTGGGGCCGGGGAGAAAGAAAACATGGAGCTGAGCTGCTGTGAGAGCTCGATGTGGCCTGACAGCAGCTGTGGGTAATGGCTGGTGATGTCAGCTGAAAGGCAAAGGCAGAACTGCACAGACAGTGACTGTGTGAAAAGGAGAGAGGCACCTTTAGAAATAGATTCGCCCTATTTTGGTCTTTCTGCATTATGGATTCTAGATGTGATCCAAAACTCCTTCAAGTCAATGGCAAGGTGTAGAGTGAAATTCTGCTTCAGTGGGTTTTGAACTTTTTTTAATAAGTCATAATCCTGGCATTACATTTATGGTCTCGTTCCAAAGAGGAGCACATATTGGAATAATTTTGAGGATGGCATAAGATAGGCTGATTCTGCAAAGTACCCCAGGGCTAACAATTCTACCTTTCACACAAAGTCCGTGGTGGTCTTTAAATACTCCCCAATACTGAGGACTGTGGTTTTACATCATGCCTGCAACTCATCCCTGAAAAGCTTGCTCCCATCACACAAGTTATTTGACTCAAGAGTGATTCAGGAGCAGTGTGCCACCTACAAAGTTGCCACTTCCTCCAGCAACCTTGGAGGCTTCCTCAGAGATCTCGAATCGAAACACTGACCAAATCAGCTCAGCCTGGTGTTCATGTTTGGATGAGCTCACAGCCCAGGGTGGTATGGCTCCCAGCCATAATTTCCATTATGCTGTAATTTCCTTTCTCCATAGGTTTTTTCTCCTCTCCATGGTTGAGAGAGTGTTCACTCTCATGCAAAATAATGTCTTTAAGTTATACAAAATGGTAAAATCTGTTTATAATGTTAGAGTACAAATGTTCTAGAGCTCAATTTTAGAAGCGCTGTGCCAGAAATAACTTCCCCCTGCAATTCATTCTTACAGTCGATTCAGATGCAGACCCTGTGCATTTTCAGTCTCTTTTTAATTTCCTGTGATTAACAAAAATGGAAACTGTAGTAAAGGAAAAAAAGCGTTCTCAAAGGCAGCGTTGGAGACATCCACTTTATGCTTAGTGAAATAATACTGTCTATGAAAGCTGCTCTATGAATATCAGGAGACTCTATCTACACATATACACCATCAAGATAGGTGTATATACACGCAAGATATACATGTGTATACACATACAACATATGTAGATACACATATGCATGCAGTATCTACTGAGAGAGGGTTAAAATTACCAAATATTTTCATGTTGAGGATAGCGTGTTCTTGTTAACAACTAACCCTGATCAGTGAAATCTGTCACTAATCAGAAGCAAAAACAGGGCTTAATGTTGCACTTCTGTCTCCATATACATATGTGAGTCCATAATTCTAAGAGCTGATGACCTCAAATTTTCCTATGTGGTTCTACTATTTGTATAGCTTAGAATGTTAATGCCTTCCTCTTGTAACAGCAGTTCCACGTGCAAACAGTTCATAGAAGCGCGCACTGAAGCTTTTATCAGGTCTTAATATGTTGTGATTATAGGGTTTAAATTTGTGCCAAGGATCTAGAGACTTCTTGTTCTGGCAGCAGTGACTTTGTTTCCTCTTCAGGTTTTACTACTGCCATCTCGGCATCGGTCAGAACGTTTTTGTCCCACATACAGCATGCCCAGAATATAAAAGAACATAAATACAAAAGTACATAAATACAAAAGTACATAAATACTTTGGAGTGTAGAGCTGATGCATAAGAAAATCGACAATGAATTAGCAGCTTTATTCTCTGTGGAGGGGAAGAAGAGTGCTTTCAGTATTGTGCTCTTGGGGAAGAAGTTGGATAGTTGTCATATAACCTCATTTATTGATGAATCACAGAAAAATAACTTCCACTTCCACACTGTCTTTATAAAATTGTGTTGACAGTAGGTGGGGATATGAAATCAAGGAAACAGCAGAACGTCAGTGAAGGAGTTCAGTTTATTTATCTGTACTTCAGCCATAATGGGCAATTACGCTGGATGGTTAGGACAGCTGAAACCTGATGGAAGTACAATTTGTACTGACACCAGCTACCTTTGATTTCCCTGAAGGGTGGCTAATCCTTGTGTGCAGAACAATGATTCCGTGGGTCTTTCCTGTAAGTGAAAGTGTCTTCTTCACAGACAAAGGAATAGAAGTGTCTTTCACACGTTGTGGTTACAATGTCAGTGGAAGTGTCTGATTCACTTCCTAATGCTGTTGTGGAATTGACAGCTTAATGGTGAGAGTGATAGGGTGACAGTTTTGTCACGTACCTGTGAACAGCTCCATCAATGCTGATCCAATGTCAGTAAGCTGCCCAGAGAAGAAATACAACCATTTAAAGGAATAGAAAAGAAAGAGATTTTAAAAGAATAAAAGCTGTTACAAACTGTAAAAAATGGTGACTTGAGTTTGCCATAGATAAGCCAAGGTTAACGTTTTGCTTTGTGATGGCATTACAGCTTCTGTAGTCTTGTTTCAGAGTGGAATCATTTTGTTTCTGACTTGTAGTACAAAAAGCAAAGCCCCGACATAACCTAGCTCTCTCCTCACTGTATCATTCTTCTAAGAGAACAAGACAATTAAGGAGTGTAAGCATAGATTAGAAGAGCTTTCTAAATTACCATTTCATATCATTTATCACAAAGCAGCATTAGAGGATGTTATTTCCCTTTTTAATCAAAGTAAGATATTAAATCCGGTAGAACTGGAAGCAGAATCCATGGTATGAAAGTATGAGGTGTGGAAGCCTTTCAGAATTGTAAGGTGGTTTTTCAAAGTTAATGTTCCCTAAGGGTGCCATTCACGCTGCATACTTTGGACGTCCAACTGTAAATACTCATTATGAATCCTCATTTCCCTATGCAGTCTGTCAGATGGTCAGAGCAGGAGCTTAGGAGATGTTTCTAGCCACCCTCTGAAGGGGTCCAGCCTGAATGACCTCCAGAGTTCGTGATTCTGTGATTATAAATGATCAGAAATCCAATCCATGTATGTTTCTTCCTTATGATTATGGTATACATAGCAGGGAGCAGTTGGAGACAGAGTACAAGAAAATTGAAGCACATCTGTAGATGGAAATGGTGGAGTGAATGAAAAGCCCTGTATGTTACAGGCCACTAAGAGATGAGAGCTGGACACAAGTATGAAATGCCCCATGTTACACACATAACTATTCATAGGTGTACTAAGGTTCTTCCATCTATTTACTGTTCCATAATAACTTATTGCAGTAAACCTTTGGTAATTATGCATTAACCTATACAGTTAAGCATTACATGCTGGACTGGATACACTGACAATCATATCACACCCATTAACATGGCTCTGGCTAACTTCTGTATTGTCTATCAGTCAGTCAGTCTCAGAATGTTCACAGGCTTTGGTTAATGACTGTGTACAAGGCTTATGGCTAGAGCAGTCCCTAGCATGCTTTGGCTGGGACCAGCAGCATGCTTCCTGCCAGGTGCTGGGCACAGCTGAGGAGTCAGCACTGAGATCACTCCTGGTTCTGTGGGGAGAGGATATGAACAGCTCTGT